TTGATTCAGGCTATTACTAGTAAGTATATATGAAAAAATATTTGCAGGATTGAAATCTTTAAATTTAACTTTAAACCAACTCTATTTAAAGAAGTTACTAGAGGAAATAAATGACCAACACCAAAAGCAGAGAAATATATACCACAAGTTGACTTTATTCAAAACTATTTTTAATTACAATGTTTACCCCCGTGGCTGTACAGACAGTAATGTTAGAATAATTTATCAAGTTAAACGTTTTTTTTTTTAAAGTGGTATTTCTCAGGCCCTGTTAATCTAGAAAAAAAAAAAAAGTTGACCTGTGTGGAAGAGTCAACCGCCTGCCTGAATTCTCCTGGGCAAGCCAACTTTGATTTTTATTAAAAACTTGGCCACAAGTTTACATTAAGAAACGAAAAGTTGGCTTGGCTTGAAGAGAGACATGACTCGCCTTGCTGGGTTATCCTTTTTTGATTGTAAGGTCAAACTCCGAGCAGGGGTTTCTGGGTTGGAATTATCATTGCCTATTAATAAGTTATGTTTCATTGACGCTGTCTGATAATATTATAACTTAAATAAGAGGAAACACAAAATAACATCGTTTGAAACACTATCAAAGACAACGATGACTTTATAGTTTTCTGGGTTGGGCGCATCATATTCTCCTGTCTACAATGATGATTCCAACAAAATGAATGGGGTGTTTTTTCTTGGAAATAAAAGTGAAATATAAGCTTTCCGTTTATGATACAATTGTCTTGGTTATGTTTCAGCGATTCTGGTTATTATTACGATGACAAGAAGGATAAGAAGGAGGCAAAGAAGCTTGATTCAGGCTATTACTAGTACGTATGGTAAAATAAAATAAAATTGAAAAAATAATAAAAAAATTGACCTCCGCCTGCCTGAGCTCTTCTGAGCGAGCCAACTTTCATTTTTATACAAAACTTGGCCACCATTTAGATTCAGAAACAGAAAGCTGCCTCGGCTAGAAGAGTGACATGACTCGCCTTGCCGGGTTACCCTTTTTTTATGCCGCCTGATATTTTGATAACTTTAATATGAGGAAGCACAAAATAACGTCGTTTGAAACACTATCAACGACAACGATGACTTTATAGTTTTCTGGGTTGGGCGCATCATATTCTCCTGTCTACAATGATGGTTCCAACAAAATAAATGGAGTGGTTTTTATTGGTAATAAAAACGAAATGTAACTTTCCGTTTATGATACAATTGTCTTGGTTATGTTTCAGCGATGCTGGTTATTATTACGATGACAAGAAGGCCGCAAAGAAGCTTGATTGAGGCTATTACTAGTACGTATATATGAAAAAAAATATTTACATTATGGCAATTTTTAACTTTAACTTTAAACCAACACTTTTTTGTTACGGGACGAAATAAATGACAACAAAAACAGAGGAAACACAGCTTTAGAATCTCACTATCAATATATACGACAACTTGACTTCATTCAAAACAATTTTACAATGTTTAACCCCTTGGCTGCACAGTCAGTAATGTTAGAATAAGTTATCAGCGTTTTTTTAAAAAGGTAAATCTGTTTAAGTGATATTTCTTAGGCTCTGTTAATCTAATGTCCTCTGTGGGAGGGTCACCCGCCTGTCTGAGCTCTCCTGGGCGAGCCAACTTTGATTTCCATAGAAAACTAGGCCAAAAGTTTACATAAAGAGACAGAAAATTAGCTGAACTAGAAAAGTGACGTGACCCGCCTTGCTGGGTTACCCTTTTTTGATTGTAGGGTCAAACTCTGAACAGGGGATTCTGGGTTGGAATCATCATTGCGTACTACTGAGCTATTTTTCAGTGATGCTGCCTGATATTATGATAACTTTAATATGAGGAAACACAAAATAACATCGTTTGAAACACTATCAAAGACAACGATGACTTCATAGTTTTCTGGGTTGGGCATAGACTTTCAAAAACGTCCTTTGTCGGATTTATTGGCGCGGGACGAAGGACTTTTCATACTTGATAGCGACCCAAAAACGGGTCGCTGCGCTTAGACCAATCAAAGTAGCTCTTTGGGACCCCTGGCGATAAAGTTGTCACTCAAAGGTACTTAAAGCGCATTAAAACGTGACTTAAAGGACGGACCATTAGAAAAGTTATGGGGGAGGGGACTTTTCGAGCCGTAGGAACGTTTCTTTGGTATTAAATTCCTTGTATGAATGTTTTTTAGCCCATAGCATGAATATTTTTTAGGATTAATTGGCGTGCATGAATTTTTTTTCATTTAAATTTCCCTTGCGCGAATATTTTTTTGTACGTCGCCCCCCCCCCATAAGTTTTCTAATGGTCCATCCCTAAGCGCATTAATATGATGACAAGAAGGCCGCAAAGAAGCTTGATTCATGCTCATTTTACTAGTACGTATAGAAAAATGTCGGTATTTTCTACATTTTCATAGAAATCTTGGCGAATAGTTTACATGAAAAACATTAAGTCGGCTTGGCTAGAATGATGAGACGGCTTCAACTGGGTCACTTTTTTTCGATAGTAGGGAAACGCTCCCAGCAGTTCTTTTCTGGATTAGACTCATCGATGTCTTAGATAATCTTGTTGCAGGGATGCTGCCTTTTATCATGTTAAGTTTAATACTGAGCATGCAACAATAATTGAAAATAAACAAAAAAACAATCACCCAGTTTTAAGCGTGATCAACGACAACGACTTAAAAAGGGTTTCAACAAATAAATTAATTGGTTTTTATTGCATTGGTGATAAAACCGAAAAATAAACTTTTGGATAATTATTTTAATTGTCTTGGTTATGCTTACTGGTACAATGACAAGAAGGACGCAGCTTGATTCAGGGTATTGGTAGTACGTAAGAATAATGTTGGTATCTTCCTACAGTCATATAGAAAACTCGGCAAACAGTTTACATGAGAAAAAAAACGTCGGCTCGGCTACCAGGGTGCTTCTCACCAATCTTTACTGGCAAAATTATCGGCCTTGTACAGTTTAGTACTGGTGGTCATGTTTTTTAAAATGCCAAAATCCATATTTGGTACGAATTTAGGGCATGAAAAGCATTGAAACAATTTTTGAGACTTTCGTCGTCATTGTCTTCCATTCTAAGACTAGCTTTTCTTGCATTGGCCAATTTCTTTCCATTAATTCTCTCGGCGTTTTTTTTGTTTGCTTTTTTACTTAGTTGTCATTTTGTTTTAGTTGGTCAACAACACTTTCTTCGGACAAAGCAAGCCGGCTGCTAGAAACGCTGTTTTTTGTTTTCAATTTTCGCGCTTTCTTTTGTCTGCAGAGCAATCTCCGAACTGTATTGATAGGATTTTTAGCGGAGCTCGAAAGGAGCACCACAGCTAAGAAAATCTGGTTACCTATCCAACCAAGAAATTTTGGCAGTCGCGTGACCGTACGTCTACCCGCTCGCCCGTCTGTCCTCACCACGGGGAAACGAATGTGAAATGATACACTTCCTAGCTAGTGTGGGAGCCTGCAACCTGATATTGCACCTCCTTGTTGTGGTCAATATACAGCTGTCAAAACAAAATATCCACTGACCTGTATCACATGACGGTATCGCGGGCTCAGGTGTCAACCCATCGAGGCTACGTGTTTTTTGAAGTTTACCGCTGGCAATGTTCTACGTTTCAACTGGTCGTAGGCTCAACTCTATTTTGAATTTTTCTTTGATTTTTTTTTTGTAGTCATGTTTTTCATTGACGGGAGCTTCGCCTTAAGCCTCGGCTCAATCTGTTAAGTTTATAAATTATTGTATTATAAACGGACCGTAAACTTTCAGTGATGCTGCCTCTAACTAACGGTACGTATTTAAAAAGTGTTTGCCGAATGAAAAATTTTTCAAACAACTACGCCGACATATTGTTAGTTGATATAGGACTGACAGAAAAGGAAAGACAGAATCACATCGGTTCAAATGGTGTTATTCAAAAGCCATCACTGTGATATTAGAATTCTTTCTCCTTAGCAGTGTAGGCTTGCTGGTCGGGGCATCCGCAGGCAGAAATTGATTTAAAATTGGTTTTCTTTAGTTTTTTCTAATCTTTTGACAAGTAAATTTTAGTCAATTTCATATTTTCGGTATAAAGTCTTCTTCCCTCGCTTTGTTTTGTTTCAGCGATGCTGCCTATTATAACGACGCGAGGAAAAGACGGAGAAGCGACTTGATTCCCAGATGAGATTGATTCAGAATAAAACAATATACATGGACGCCAATGAAGAATAATAGGGGATTAGTTGAGGGTACCTTTAAGTTGTGCATGGAAAACTCTTGATTTAAAAA